CAAACTGGAAGCTGGTTCCACAGAAGAGGGGCCTGAAAACTGAAGGCTCTGCCTCCCATTCTACTTTTAAATACTCTAGGAACAACAAGTAGTCATATGAGTAGTCATTTAAAAAGACTTTTGTCATGTAGTCACATTAATGTTTTTTCCTTCTCACAGTATCCTTGTTGTGAGCCTGCAAGAGAAGATTGCAGCATTTGACAGCTGCACATTCACCAAGAAGTTCTTTGTTACAAGTAAGAATATTAAACATGAGTCCTATAATGCTCATTTACTGCTCCAGGGGTAATTGTTCAAATTGAACATGGCAAAAGTTTTAAATAATGAAGTTGGAAAAGAGTGGTTGTTCTGTTCTCTGGGTGCTCTGGTTTCTACTGCTGTGTATCAGCTCGGCTCTAGCTGTGAGAACAGAGCTCACCTGGGATTGAGGTGAACCGAGCGGCTGCACTAACCCAACACGAGGCAAATAAGCGTTGCTTTTTTCGACTGTGAATCATGCAAAGCGACTCTCTGAGAACGACAAGAAATGACAAACATTAAAACGCATAGAATACGTCTTCTTTCAATTCGCTCAGCCTGCTACAAAACCTGGCAAAAACAGAGAGGGAGGTTTTAATAGGTTACAGAAATCAATTGCTTTTCACATCAAAAACAAGAATGATTGTTGTCACATGTGGCCTGTCATTATTTTATTGTAGAAATATGTATTTATCAAACACGGGGCCAAACCCCAGCCCTGTACTTTGTGTAGTAGCACAAACAAACAGCGCCAGTCACGTAAAATTCTTTCTTCAAACTTAATCTTTCCAAACATGATCAGCGAGTCTGTCATGCCCGCATCACACAACCCAAACAAATACAAGGCACATCATTGATTATAATACAAGCCACCAAGACCTGCTGGAGTGGAATCCTCTTAAGCATCGCATTGTGACTAAACTGCTTTTATCAAGACAAGATGGTGAGACCCTTCAGTTGAAGCTCAGCACAGGAAAACTGTTTACGACACAGCTCTCGCATCCTCCCGGCTGTACCTGCCGTCTCTGCTCAGGGAGTCTGTGAAAGAAATGCCAGACTGTATTACAAGGCCATTGCTGTCTACTTAAGTCATTGACTGGAGTAAACTGACCTTACTGGCTGGCTTTAATGTGTCTCCTCTTTGTCTGCCTGCCTTCCCTATCAGCGTCTGGGCAGCAGGAAACCAAACATATTCAATAGTTATTAATCGTTTCTGAATGCAGGGGCCTCCTCTTCATAACATCGTTTGGTCTGTTTTGGCCATAAAAGCAGTAAACAAAGGGTCCTGTGATGTGGGGAGATCTGCTTTGGATGAGCAATTCTACCTCTGCATGTGCTCTTCTTCTCCAGGGATGTGATGGTGGGCATGCCATGTTTTCATGAGCACTTAGTGTTTGTCCCTTGTTTATGTTCTTGCTTTGCATCGAGTGGTATGTGTGCTCCTAGCTGCTGCATGCTCAGCCCCAGAAACACACTCTCTTTCCCCTCTGCTCAGTCCTGTTTGGCTTTTGAATGGGACGACTCGTAATGATCACAATCGTAGTCCTTAATGTGTTTTTACAAAAAGTGCGTGTGGAAACGTTTGAGGATTCATAAACAAGACGACGACTACTTTTCATATGCGTTTGAAACCAAAAGTTTTCCCTTTCTGATAAAATGTAA